CCTCCCCACTCCATCCCGGTTGCGGTGACAGCCGGGGGGTCTGGGGACAGGCGCATTGTCTGCCGCGCGGCGGGGACGTGAACGTGCCGGCCGGGTCCACCTCCTCCGGGACCCGCCGCCGGGGAGGAGCCGGCGCGAAACGCCACCCGGGAGCCTCTGAGCGCCAGCTCCGGGGCCTCTGGGTTGTTTGTCTGCTGAGCAGCTGGTTGCCGGCGCCCCTGAGCCTCCTGGCCAGCACGAGTGACAGCGATCTCCTGGGTTTATAGGGCTTGAAGCGCCTGAAAGCCGCCCAGCCGCCGGCCTCCCACCATCAGGATCTTTACCCCTTTCTCCCACCCTCCTGCCCTCCCGACCCCTGCACCCACGCCACTGGTCCTGGTGACCTGGTGACCGAGCCTGTACCATCAGGGTTTCCATTCGCGTGGAAGATACTGGAAAGCCCCTTACTCCACCCCAGGTTTGAGTTGCTAAAGGAATTCCAGAGCCTGGCCTCTCCTTTCCTCACCCAGAGCTCATTGCCTGAAAAGCGCCCGCCTGCCCTTGAACGTAGTAGTGTGAAGTTGATGGCGTTGGTGACTGCATTAGATGCTCCCTTCCCCATGTCGCTCCTTGACCGTCTCCTCTCAAATGACGCTCTTAAGCCGGGGCTCTGGGCCTCGTGTCACCATGTAGCTCTGGACCTGCATTGGCAGGTTCTGTGTCGTGCCGACCACCTTTGAGTTCTGTGTTGGAGGTGGGAAGGACAGTGGGACAGGTGAGGATTTCTTTTCACGTTTAAATGAGACTGTGTGATAGCGCCTACTGTCATTCATCTTTGATATTAATAGGTGAGCGCCTTTAGAGTACAAACTGTAGAAAGTGTTTTCTCTAGAAAGGAAGTGGTATTCCCTCTCTTGACAAAAAAAAAGAAAAAGAAAACTTTTGGGTGGTACATGCATTTCCCACTGTCAAAAAAATTCAACCAAGTAAATTTGAAGATCTAACTGGCTTTATTAAGCAACTCATGAACCAGGCAGTGTTCCATCTAGCAAGAGAGAGATGCTCTGAAGAGCTGTACAAAATGAAGGTTCTTACAGGGAAGAGGATGGGGGAAGATGTGATTAGTGAAAGAAAAGGCACTGTCCTAGGCCTGGCCACCTCCCCTGGGGGAGGGCAGGGGTGGCGTGCAGGTCTCCTCCGTAGTGCTGCTGCAGAGCTCTCAGATTGACTGGTAAAAGGTCACATTCCTAGGATATGTTGAAACTAAATAAATCTTGGTTTGCTGATGTGGGGGGAAGACGACTCTATTTGGGGCTTGTTTTTTTCTTTTTTTGTAGTTGAAAGGTCAAATTTATTCCAAGATTAAGAGCTGTTATTATACATGGACTATAAATACTACACAGCTGACTTTATTCGCAGTCAAGCAGAGATCTAGTGAACACCAGCCTATCTTGCAGATATTCTTGTCCTTTTGTTCTAAGAAAAGTTTGCGCATGTGATTTGGACTTAGGTGTTGGAGCCTTACTCTCTGCAACATCACAGCTCCATCCATTTTTTTCTGCAAAGGCAACTGCTTCTGGTTTAGGACTGAAAGGTTAGAACTATGTTGGACAGGAATCAGCCCTGTAAGAACCTTCCCCCCACCCCCAGGATTTTAACAGTAAGCTTTGGGTTGGTGCCCAACCCATCAAAGGATTTTCCCATCATTCCCTGGTGTCAAGCTCCATCTTCCATTTCTTCGTGCTGTGTACTCCAGACTGCACGTTACTGCGAATGGAACAAAGCTGCTAACTTTTCTGGTTTTCATATGCTCTTCTGGAACACCAGTTAAAGTAGTGATAGGCAATTTCTCATCAGCTATTAGGAGTTGCATGTTTCCAGTTTGGTCCCATACCAGCCTCCTTGTGGAAGTGCTCAACAACCTGGTCAGAACCCTGGAAACAGAAAACGCAGTTAACAGCCACCTCTCTTCACCCCAGCAGCACTTACCTCCCGAGCTCTTGTTTTCTTTAACACCACCCATCTTTGCCTTAAAATATGATTCACTTTAAAATTTTTGCCTTTAAGTAGATTACTTAAGATGTGCACGGGGCTGCTTTGATTACTTACAGCAGCACTTCAGTTCTGGGAAGAACCTTTTGATGTTGCTCTTACTATTTCTTCCTTTCAGTCTTACCATTTTCATCCCTGAAGAGCACACAGATTGTTCTGGGAAGCACGGATCATCAGTGGGTCTGAGGGTGGGGCGCGAGAATGCCTGTTTCCTTCAGGTCATTCTGCCTTACAGTTGGCTATGTTGGTTGTTTCAGAAGAAAGGTATAAAAACGTGCTTCTTACAGATTCTAGTGCAGGTGCTCCATAGGGATGTTCTGGAAGCTGCTCTCTGACAGCAGAACGACAATGGATATTCTGACACTTTCCCCTCCTGGCATGTGGGGTTCCAGCGGCACCTACAAGGAGCAATTTTTTAAGTATTTAAGTATGTCTTCTGTATAAGTACTTGGGCTCCCTGCCAAGAACCAAATTTAAAGCAGGGCTCTGCCTCATTTCCACTGCCCTCCCTGGAGGGCCGGAGGAGGAGAGGTAGGAGGGAGGCGGGACTAGAAACCAGACCAACCTGAACTTGCCCCTGCGACCCACTGACCTCTGACCTTGTCCTGCTCAGTATGGGCGTGGGCTTCCAGGGCTGCACTGAGTCATCACTGGTCACCTCGGAGGTCTCGCCCTGCTCTCCATGGAATGGTTTCCAGCGGGCACTGCTCAGCCTAGGAGGAAGGGACTGCATTAAACTGAGCTCTTACAGTCTGAACAGTCACCATCTTTACACATCTTAATTGCACCCACCATGAAATCTGACAGGCTTGCTTGCACCCATTTTACAGGGGAGGACCCTTCATTGCTTAAGAGGAAATTGAGACCCTCCTCCTCCCCCACCACCACACCACCCACCTGCCCTGGCTGGTTTTCCAATGCCCTCTGGAGTGAGTGAGTGAGTGAGTGAGTGAATGAGTGAGTGAGTGAATGAGTGAGTGTGT